GCAATTCATTCTGTGTAAAGCTCAGTGGTTTGGCTTAGAGGGCTGATGGAGGTGGGTTTGAACTGGAACAGCAGAGCAAGAGCTGGAGCAAACCTATTCTCTGCTGATTCTCAAGGGGTAAGAACCACTAGCATGGGGGAAAATTGCATGCAGTAACTTCTTTAAATACTACAAGAAGATCCACCATAGCTCCGTCAAAACCCCCTGCAAGGGTCCAAATACAACATGCAGAACCACTGAAATCCCTGCTCAGGTGCAGGTTAAGAAGAATACATTGAATCCAATCTCCCATTTGGATACTTAATGCCACCCAAAATCCTAACAGCTCTCCTTAACTGTGTGTCTCTGCAGAATTCTTAAACTCGGTATTTTTTTTTTTTCTAATATACAGGCCAGTGCCTGGCCAGCATACACAAAAGAGAGCTGAAGATTTACACACAAATGTGTTTCCCAGCAGTGAGCACACTCTCCTGTGATGTGGGAAGCAATATTAATTGAAGTGAGATCTTGCAGGCTGACTCTACCACATCCCAGGGAAATGCCCTAGCCCTTGGGCATTGAGTTAATCTCTCATTAGCCATCCCTCTGGTCTCTTGAATAAATTATTTATGAAAAGCAAAAAACTTCAATAGGAAAAAGTGAAAAGAGATTTACCATGGAGTTCCTGGTAAAAAAGCCAATTCTTCAGAAGGCGATGTATGTTTTAAAAAAAAAAGGCAATTTAGATAACAAATCAATTTGCACTTTGGAGGCAAGTACACATTAAAGCTAGCCAGATGCTGCCCTGTATGGAGGAAAAATGAATTCTCTTCTCTGAGTACCAAGCAGAACAAAAATATATACATAGGGTTCCTCCTGACAGAACAAAGAGGATATTCCTCAGGCTGAGGTACCTCATCCATGTCTCAACCCCAGGCTACCTCACCTTAAAGAACATGGCTTATTTGACCAAGGGCCTCACCTGGAGCAGGGCTGAGAGCTGAAAATCCCAACTAGAAAGTGAATTCCCTTTTGAGGTACTGTCATATGCCTATTTTGAAGAACATAGTTTGAAGAACATAGGGCCCTCTATATTGGCCCTAACCAAATCTCACAACAGTTTGCTGAATTCCACAGCTCCTTGGCTGCACTTCCATTTCTAGCTTTACACTGTACAAAAGCAGAACAAATAATTTCAGTAAGTGACTAGTACACTGATGTGTCCAACAAGGCTATTCCCCATAGCTTGGATGCCCAACACCAAGCTGTACAGTGCCTCCATCTGTATGGTTCAAAACCTAGAATTCCTTCAGAAGGGTGTACACCCACTTTTATGCTCCATAGGAAAAATTCAGAGCTCATTACTTTCATTTAAAATACCAGTGGGCAGAGGAAGAGGACGATGAAAAAATATGAAAAAATCTCATGAAAAAATCTCAATATGAAAAAATCTCATATGAAAAAATCTCATGACCCTCTATGGGACAGGCTGATCCACTGTGGGCATAAATTGCTGTAACTTCAGGAACTGCCATGACTTACAACAATCCTCACTACTGCTATGTAGCCAGAATCCACTACAACACAGGGGAACTTTGGACTCAAGCACAAACCTACAAGGACACTGCTGGAGTTTTCTCTAACATGATAGTAACTGTCTGACTTGATTCTGTGTACATACAACCCTGTTCCTGTGTGTGTTTAACAATCATGTGTCCAAGGAAAACACTCAGCTGGCCAAAACACTAATCCAACCCTTGGGCCTGCAATTGTAAATGTGTAAAGTGCCTCTGAGCACAGGCAGACGACCATCAGAGTCTGTGGCTCCTCCCTTCTTCTGTGATCATCTTCTTCAGATGTGTAACCTGTGTTGGTTTACAATATTTACTGAGCATTTTGTTTAGATTTCATTCCCCAAATGAATCCCTTTCTGATGTCTTGCAGATTTCGAGTGGTTTGCAGACCTGCTAGAACAGTGGTTTACAACTCAGTGGGGTGCAGGTTGAATGGATAAAATCAGATCAGCAGGATAAACTGTGATATAAATCATCTATCTAAATTTATCTAAATTTATGTCTAACTGCTGAAGACTTAACTGTCTTAGCTCTAGCAATGGGATTCAAATTATCTCCACATAAGTAGCATAGTTTTGACATGAAATGCCTATAAATCTATGCTGTAACTTAAGCATTCATGAATACTTAATCATATGTTGTATCAAAAAATTCTTTCAATTTCCTATTCGTACAGAAAAGCAGTAGTTATGAAAAACCAAATGCATAAAAAACCCTCTTACTATATGTTCGTCCTTGGACGTAGGATTTATGTTAAAATATCAATGCTTATTTTAGGAGCATACCTGTTTGAAAATAGATTTCAAATTCTCGGTCTTCAAGGCCCAGATTATCCTTCATTAATATTACATGAATATAAAAAAATACATCAAGGAATCTCCCCTGGAGTACAGTGCATGTAGGGATGTGGGGGACATGTTACAACTTCACAAAAAGTACCTGTAAGGCCACTCCAAGCCTTCCAATTACAGCATGATGCCCCATATTGCATAAGGTAAGTGTCCAAACTAGTGCAGTTTTCGCAGTGTAACAAATGTTTTGCAATAATAAACAAATTATTTATGTTTTCCGCATTTAGTTATTTAGAAAGACTTTTTTTATTAGATTTGGGTTAAGTTCAGCGAGCAAGTTCAGGGAATTCATGGAAGGGCAAAACTAATGTTACCATAAGATACAGCACCAATTAGAAAGTGGGAAGAAGGAAAGTTTCTTTTCTTTTTCCAGCTAGTGAATTAAAAAATGTTGGACAAGGAGAAGCCCTACTCACCATAAAACCATTAAGATCAAGGGCTAGATTTTGGAAATAATTGTCAGTTTTAGAGGATTGGTGGAATTTTTAAAAGAGCAGATCAGGCATCTAACTCTCTTAGATATTAAACACTTGACTGTTTAATGGGGTTTTCAGCAGACCTAAATCCTTTTGAAACAGTTAGTTAAATAATTGAAAATATTTTGTATTTCCGCTGGTTAGCAAGTCAGTTTTTAAATGCAAAATGAGTTTTTAATAAACATAGGGCCTGTCTCTCCGGTCAGGTGCAGTCAGTCGTGCTCACATTGAGCTTATGCTCTCAGTAGGCTGGACACAAGCCAGACTCTGTACAGATGCCATAGAAACTACATTGTCAAGTTCATTTTAAGACAGTGCTGTGGCCAAAAGAAACAATCTCTGCCCTCAACAGGCCCCAAACACTCATCCCTAACCACTACATTACCACCTCCCCTCTGCCAGCATAATGAACTGAATCACTGATCTTGTTTAGGTTAAAACTAACTTCCTTTTTTTTGGCCAGATTAGGTTTGATCCTGGTCCAGCTCACTCTGTTGCTGCACAAACACTTGTGCAAGGAGAGGAAGCAGCAAGAAGGGCAAGTCTACTTCATTTGCTGGCAATGCTGGTCTCTGTCAAAGCACATGACCGAACACATCCTTATTCCTTCTTTACAATACTCATCACGTTTAAGGTACATCTATTCAATTAAATGTAATTTTGTAATTCTGTTTTGTACATTTTAATTAAATACCATTTTTCATGTAAATCGAGTATGACTCAGAAACGAAAATGAAATTGAGCAGTAAAACCTGTCACTTGTAAACTAAGACGGCAAAAATTCAGAACATGAAAGAATGTTCTTAGGTTTACTTCTGATACCTAAAAAGAAATAATTAATTCTGTGTAAAGCTCTCAGCTGTTCACAAATTACTGTAGTTATTCCGACTAAGGAGAACTTTCTTTATGAAAATAATATACAAAAAGTATTTTTAAAAGGTAAAAAATCAGGTCATCTGCTTTGGTGCAATCTATTTGAACCCCTGCTTTTCCTTTTCTGTACCGTATCTCACTGCTGGACTTAAACACACTTCCTCCATATACATTCCTGTTCTGCCTTTCCAACTGAGGTGTCCAGAAGCTAAGCAAAGAAAGAATAAGAGATGTGTTTTGCAGCATGTATTTCTAGGGCTGCCCAAATTTTTATGCATTTCCCCTTCCACCCCTCTGCCTGGGCAAAAGCTCATCCTGGACAAGTCAGCCAGAGAAACAACTGGTTTTGTGCAGGTCCAAGGAAAGCGTCCAAGGAACATGTAGCGCTTTGCACTCCAAGAAGCAACCTTCCTTTCACACCTTGCATTTCCGGCGCTGTTGGAGGTACCAGTTCTCTGTGATCCTGTGTGACTCACGCTGATATAAACATGATAAAGGACAGGAGTTCCTCTCCTGCTTCCCAACTGCAGGTGCTGCGGCTGGGCTGGTAGAGCAGTGGAGTAATTCACAGAATCACAGAATTGTTAGCACTGGAAAGGACCTCTGGAGACCGTCCAGTCCAAGGCAGAAACACAGGAACACATCCAGGTGGGTTTGGAATGTCTCCAGAGAGGGAGACTCCATGACCTCCCTGGGCAGGCTGTTCCACTGCTCTGTCACCCTCAGTGTAAAGTTCTTCCTCATGTTGAGATGGAACTTTTTGGTTTTTAGTTTATGGCCATTGCTCCTTGTCCTGTTGCTAGGCACCACCAAGAGTCTGGCAGCATCATTTCAGCACCTGTCTTTGAGATATTTATATGAATGAATGAGATCCCCTCTCGGTCTTCTCTAGGCTGAACAGGCCCAGCTCCCCCCAGTCTCTCCTTATGAGAGATGCTCCAGACCCTTAAACATTTGTGGATGTCAGCAACGAGCTGGCCAGCAACGGGCTCAGGATGTGAACTATCCGCACCAAGGCAAGGCCCAAGGCGTGAGGTGAACCACAAAACCAGCACGGGGTGAAGACGACAGTGCCAGCCCCAGGTGAGCAGTGGGCACAGGGGGCACCGCACAGCAGTGACCCCACGCTCTACCGGGCTGCCCACCTCCAGCTCCACCTCAGGGCGGGCCCAGGGGGTGCCGGGGGCAGCGCAGCCGCCCCAGGGGCGCCGCGGGCGGAGCGGGGCGGGCGGCGCCATGAGGCGACACCGCCACCGCCCCAAAATGGCGCAGGCGGGGGGTGAAGGGCACCGGCGGGAGGGGGCGGGGGGAGCCGGCGGCGCCACTCACCTGCCGGTAAGAGAGGCGGAAAGGCCGCAGGTACAGAGAGGAGGTGCAGGGCTGGAGCGCCAGCTCCTCGATGGCCTCCATCCCTGCCGGGGGAGGAGGGGGAGAAGGGGAGGAGGAAGAGGAGGAAGGGGAGGAAGGGCGGAGGCGCGCGCAGCCGCCGGCGGCCGGGCCGGGCAGGGCCGGGAGCGGCCCCGGGGCGCTGACGGGGCGCGGGTGCGGCGCTGTCCTGCCCTCTGGCAGAGCCGGGATCAGTGAGTGCTGCGTTTCGCCCCCAAAACGGGGACACAGGGGCCCCGTCGCCTTTATTCGCAGAGCCGTAGAATCGTCAGGGTTGGAAGACACCTTTAAGATCAAGTCCAAGCGTCAGCCGAGCCCTGCCACTGTAACCCCTAAAGCACCAAACCGCATCGCCCAGCGCCAGGTCCAGACGCCTCTTAAACACCTCCAGGGATGGTGAGCCCATCACCTCCCTGGGCAACCTATTCCAGTGCCTGACCACCTGAACAATGAAAATTTTTTTTCTGACATCTAATCTGAATGTCCCCTGTGTCAGCCTAAGCCCATCTCCTCTCGTCCTTTCACTGCAGGCACGGCAGAAGGGACCGGCCACCACCGCACTGCAACCTGCCTTCAGGTAGTTGCATTGTTCTCCAGAAACACCGATTGGTGATGATGTTTGCACGGAAGGTTGGCACATGCTCTAGGGGTCAGTTATTTCCACATATTACACCAAAATTGATGGGGTGTTCCTGCACTGAACTGAACTGAAACCAACCTCCAAAGCCTGGATGCCACCTGTGTGCTACCTTTTTTGCCACAAGTTGTCCCGATCGTTATTATACATGAGGCTTTGCAGGATGAGCACCTTGCTGTTAAAAGCACAGTCACTTATGCCGGCCTGCGTGGTGCTTTCATGTCAGAATGGGGGTTGTATGAGTGGTGTGGAAAATGCAGGGGTGAATACAGATTCATTGGTAGCCTGCAGTGCATCACTCGGTGCTTCTCCCAACTTTCCCTCTCAGGGTCAGCTTCCAGTCGTGGCCACACACCCAATGCGTGGCAGAAGAATAAATGCAGCTCAATTCAATTCTTTTGTCTTTTTTCAACCAAGTTACAAAATAATTACCCTCTCTCCCTTTACTTCATTTTTGTCTTAAATAAATCACTATTAGATTTAGCAGTTTTCTGATTTTCATAGGAGTTTGATCATTGTTGTGCAACATCAGGTTAGATTATCCTTGTTGTTTTAATGCTCCTAATAATGATTTTCTAGGTTCATGAACAACAGAGCTCACTATTTGTAGTGGTCATTATCTCTCTGATTTGTGGTCACTTTCCGTGCAGATGTTCCTGTGTACAGCTATTTTGGTTGCTGTATAAATCAAATTATTTTGTCAATGTATCGACTGCACTGAGACTAATCTGAAATTTCTTGCATATGTTTCTTTTTTTGTCTTCTAATGTACTTCCACGTCATCACTAAGAAGGTTTATTGTCTTGTCCTGTGGTAGTAAGAATCCCAGCAGTCTGGCTAAAAGGAACAGACTGAGCAATTACAAAACTCACTAAAAAGTAAGTGAGGCAGCACTTACATTGCAGAATGCTTACCATCAGTTCTGATAACACAAGTGGCAAAAAATGTTTGGTGGGGCTGAAAACTGTGGTTTTAAAAGTATGTTTGCAAAGCTATCATAAAAAGTAGGCAAGGAAATGTATTTTATTAGCTGACTTTGAAAATATTTGTATAACTCTGTTTGCATCACTGTATATGTCCATATATTTCTGCTTTTTTCAGAACGATCTTGAGGTCATTCAGAGCTCCTGGGAACTTAAGCTATATTTTTCTAGTAAGTTATTTCAGTCTTCTAAGTCCAATTTAAGTATAAACACAGTTTCCATGCACAGCAGGTTTACAGTATCTCTGTTTGCTTATGTTAAAAGTTACCGGCTACCCAGGTCGGTTCAGCCACTCAGATTGCCCTCTTCAATAAACATTCTGACACCGCTTTCAGGTTCTGAGTGTGTGTGTGTTTTGAGGAACGTGTCATACTGTGTGATGGATTGCTTATTCCATTCCTAGCCTTAGGTGGGAAGCTTTTGGGGTTGTGATGTGTCACAGACCTGATCTCGTTAATGTACCTGGAACAGTCGAGTGTATTGTCACGGGAAAACACATTTTGGGGTGCTCTGATGTTGCAACTTAGACTTGTCGATTTTTTTGTTGGAAAATCTTCTTTGTGAGTATGCCAGCTGAACTGAGGGTTTAACAGGCTGAGACTGAAGAGCTGCCTTAGTGTTCCCATTTTACAGGTGAAATCTGAGTGAGAAAATAAATAGGAAAAATATGTCCTGCACAGTGGGACTACCATTCACCACCTGGACCTGAATTTCATTACTGTTCTTCATTAAGGCCTAGCTAACCTGTGCAGCAAGTGCCTTTACATTTGCTGGTCCAAGAACAATCCCAAGAAGGAAATTCCCCTAAGTTCTCACTTATTCAGATGGATAATAGCAAAGAGGGAAAAACTTCTGGATGGGTGAAATGCACTCCTGCTTTCCTGTTCCCTTTCACTGCTTTCGTGGCTTGCCTCTGCTGACTGGAATAGTGATTCCAGCCTAGCTCTAAGTGCACTGGCTTCACAGCAATAATTATGAGATGATACAATGCAGAGATGCTGCTCAGCAGCTCAGCTCAGGGGTTGGGAGAGCTCTGTTTCCACATAAAGTCCCACCAGGGGATGTGCCCACCATGCACACACCACTTTTTCTGGAGTAACTTGATTCCAAAGGAAATGGAGAGACCAGGCATGTTTGCTCAGTCCAAGCGCTGCCCCAGCTTCTCTGTTGGGTGTTACTTCACATCCCTTTGTGTCTGCTCCTTTTTAAAGCAGCAGTACTAGTGGTGTTCCTCCAGAAACTTGGGAAAACAGGCATCCAAAATTCCAGAGTGTCCAATGACTCTGTTCATGTCTATTACCTTCAACGAGAAGATTATGATACTTAAGTTTAACCTCATGTTTAACTGCCTGCAAAATCTCTTGGATTTGATTAGCACCACTCCATTAAGTATCATTTACATTTCTATGATACTGTCCCTAAATCATCAGTTCCCAAACTTCTTATATCCTGGGTTACTCTTGGCTGTCACAGCTTCTTTGCAGAGCGCTATCCAGGTTTACCATTGCACTCCTAATTGAAATAGCTACCGCTGATATCCTTCCACAAACCAACTGCCTCATGCCATCACATCTTCCTTGCTAAGTGATACTGTTAATTTGACTCCCAGAAACCAGGAATGTGTCAGAATGACAGGTTGCATTTCATTACATTAAATGCATTCCTTTTTCCCCCTTAACAGTGGCTTCTGTGCTGTATGTTGTTTTCTTGCATTTTAAAATAACAGATGTAAGGATGTGAATGCTGCCGTGAGTGATTTCCTCATGAGTTCTTTGTCTCCTGGAGCTGCTGGTCTCCTGTTGTAAAATACCAAAATCTAGATGTTTCACCCACACAGGCTCTGAAGGCTCTGAGAATGGTTTGTGTAACAGTCTAATATACAACCTAATAAAGAAAGCAAAAAGCTGAGTAGAACTTTGTTCCTTTCCTGGAAAGGAAGATCAGCAGAGTACGTCAGCAGGCAGAGAGAGAAAAAGGAGAAGTGTCCTGTCTGGAGCTGAAGAATCTCAAGGGAAGATTCACAGGGATTTCTTACAAGAAATGAAATGTTAACATTAGCGTTAAAAAGGAGTTCTTTCTGCAGGGTAAGGTTCTTTGTTTAACAGACTTCTCTCCAAAGCAGTGTTTGCCCTGTGTTACTTCGTGAGTAACTTTTATTACCAACAAAGTACCCAAATATTTTTTTTTTTGCATTGCACTTTTAAAAAAAATCCCCTTGAGCTTGAAGTTTCTGCCGACACAGTCCTTCCCTTCCCCTTCCAGTCACACAGTCCTTGGGCATACACTCTGCAGAGGGTCAGGTTGCATCCTCATTAGCAGTTTGTTTTATTGCTGTTTGCTTTGGGACACAACCGGGAACGTTCCCGTCCAGAGCCTGGTGCTACTGCCCTTCTGCTCGCGGTGGCTCCGGGAGCCAAGCACACCCTCCCACCTCCACCTGCATGCAGGTTTACCGTGAGTGGAAAACCAGGAATGTCCCTTGCAGTACTTCCCTCTTCCTGTTGGAGCGTAGTGAGGTGCCTGAGCTGTTGGGTTCATTCATGCACAGTTAGGCAGCACGTTTTCCTTAGCGATTTCTGTGTGTGTGAGCATCTGCATGTGCTTTTAATCTCCATCAATCCCTGCCAGGATCACTTTGCTCTTTGACATGCCATGGCTCATGAACAAAAAATCATCAGGTCCTGAGCATTTCTTATCTCCAGAGGACTCCTCGAGATATTGCAGATTATCATTACTTTCTTATGTCTTTTGACAGTTGTGAGTTCTTACGGTAGTAGTAACAGTAGTTACTAAGATACTACAAATATGGAAGCCTCAGGAACTAGAGGCACACTGACTTGCAATTCTCAACTTTCATTTTTAAAAGACAGTTTCTAACCCTCATGGCTGCAGAAACAAAAATGGCCAGGAGATGAAACAATGACAAACCTGTCGTTTGTGAGCTGTTAAGCACAGGTCCTGTGCCAAAGTGATGCCACATATTTGGTAGAAAGGCTTTGCTGTTGGGGTGACAGATAACCTGAATCCCCAGCTCTGGGCAGCAGAGGCTGCTGAAGCCAAGGGGCACTGGCTGACCCAGGATCCGGCTGTGTGCCCAGTTCAGCCCGTCCAGCTGCAGATGACTTGGGATGCCAGCAAAGCCATTTTCCTCTGCCTGGAAGCTGCTTCCAGAACTTCCTCCTCAGCTCCCATGTGCAGTTTTTGTTAAGATCACATAAGGTATCAAGAAGGTTGGACACCTTTGCTGCACATGCTTAGAGAGAAAGGTGGGTGAAAGTGTCCAAAATTCAGCATATTTTGTAAACTCATGTTGGAAATCCTTACAGTTGACAGCATGAAATCTTATCCTCTTCATGTGGGTCATCCTTGCATTGCCACAGAGATGTTAGTTTTGAGTGCCTTTCTTGGTATCAGATGCTTGTTCTTTCCATAATGAAGTGGCTGTTGTGAAGTTTGCCTTCTAAGGTTTACCCCTTAGGCTCCTGTGGAAAAGCAAGCCTGAAGCTGCCAATATCTAACTTTTAATTATTATTCAGTTCTGGGGCATAACCACCCTGGTTACATTCATGAAAGTCAGGAATCATGCTTATGCAATTCTTTTGGCATTGTAAATAGAGCCCTAGAGAAATTTGTTTTGATTTTAGTAGTAACTTTTCTGAGCGACGCCTTTTTTTTTTTAATAAATTATTTACATTTCAATTACCAAATATAAAGTTAGAGGTCTGCACTGCAGTACATAACATTATGTTGCAGCAATTTTGTTCACCATCAGTTGGTCCAGAGCTGCTTTAATCCCATGAATAGCCTCAATCTGAAGAAGCTGGAGCAATTATTCATGTATGGATTTGCAGAACTGGGTTTGTAAGGACTGACAGCAGGAGCAAGACAGGTGTGGTATCTATCACTGATGTGCACCACAGTGAGTTAAAGAAATATTTCAGTTTGTTTGCCTTAGATGTTTTCATTAGCTCCTCCTTGTTTTGAGAAACACAAAGTGTGTCTCTCTTAATGAGAGCAACCATCTTGGTCTTTACTTTGTGAAGTTAAGTACTGTCTCCTGACTGTAGTAGGAAACTCACCTGTGTCTAGTAGAGTAGTGTGATTTCTCAGAAGAACTGACATGTATCCATCTGCCTTGTGAAATAAAGGTCTGATAAAAAGCTCTTTTTTTAGTGCATATCATCATTAAAAGACTTGAACTAAATATGGTAAGAAAAAAAAATTAAACATATTCAGTATAAATATAGATATGTATATCATGACATGTAAAATTGATCTATCTAAAAATACTGGAGGGAAAAAGCTCTTCAACATAAATATGCAACTAATATGTCAAATAGTCCTTAAGATATTCACAATGTAATATGACAAGTTGCAATATGGTATAAAATAGAGGGAGGTAGGTGAGAACTTGGGAAGTCAATTCTCATTTCTAGCTTTTCAGCTGGGGGAAGAACAAACACACAGCCTGTGAAAAAAATAAGAAACAATATGCATGCAAAATTTAGATACTTTTATATTATTTTAATTACTATCCAACAAATGTTGCCTACAGCTAGCAGAGTGAAAATGATTAGAGGGAAGGCTTTGATTTTTCAATTAACTTCTCTCTAATGAGGGAAAAAAGAAAATGATAACACTGTTGCTTGCATTACAAAACCACGCACAACTAATATCTGGATCTCATTATGCTGGAAACTGTTCAAATACAGGTAGAAAAATGGTGTCTTTCACAAAAAAAAAAGCAGCAAACTAATTCATACAAAAGAACAAACAAGATGAACATACAGTAACAAGGAACAGCTGAAGGAGAGGAAAAGATCAAGAAGAATCTTCTTTTGTTTGCCACATATGTATGCAATAGAGCTGGAAGGAGAAAAATATTTTGATTTCTCAGGGAGCCTTGATGTTCCAATAGTTTGAAATTGCTTGTAAAAGGGACTGGAGCCCAAGCCATGGGATACTTGAATGTTGGCCATGGCTCTAGCCATGACCCTGGTATCTCTGAGCTCCCCAGTGACCACGACACTGTGCTGTGCCTGGTAGCCTGCCCTGGACTGTAGGCATTATAAGTCCAAGTGTCCCTAATCTTCAGGCAGTTTTGTTGAAGCTGTGGGAACTGGAAACCCTGGTCCTCCGGAGAGTACCAGCTGGGCTGCTCAGAAGCTGGGGCTGGCGTAGCTCCAGTGGAAGCTTGCCTGTTTTCCAAAGGAATTTAATTGAATACTTGTCTGGATGAAATCTTTCTGTTTGGTAAATTGAGACATTCCAAAGGAAAAGTGTAGTCAGAAGGGTTTTATTCCACCAGATGTAGGGAGCAGGTATCTGGCTTCTATTTTGATATATTTAAATATAAATATATGTATGTGTGATTTATGTGATAGAAAGGTAAAGAGACACAACTGGCCATTTTCCTGCTTCCTCTTCATTAGGCATACTATATTATTTTCGTATTTATTTCTGTTGTACCAATACTTAGGAATCCAGAACTTTATTGTGCTCATCATTGGTATCAAATCACAGAACAAAACAGCCTAAATGCTTTAGTGAGATTCGTTAGAAGTGTGTTGGAGGAGAGCTCAGAGGAAGGACAGGGTCAGTGCTCCACAAGTTACTTCAGGGGGTTGTAACTTTTCATCAAAAAGCCTGTGATTGAAGGACAGCATGGACAATGATTTGGCAATGGCAGTGAGGGATATGGGCTGGAGATACAGAGCAGCAGGATTTCATTATCAGTGACTTGAAGTCAGGAAGCAATATAAGGGTTGGACTGATTGAGTTGAGGTGATTGAGCAAGTAACCTGCAAGAAGTTGAGCTGATCTGTTGTTGAGAGCTCACTGGAATGTTAGTGTTTGGGTCTTTAAAAGATTGGGTCTCCAAGAGATTTGGTCTCCATAAAAATCAAAGTTCTGAAAAACAAAATCCTAGGCATTTTATACTGGACTCTCAAAACTGTTGCCATTGACATTTTCCTAACTTGTGAGTGCTTGACTTTGAAACCTTGACAATTTTTTTTAATAAACGTTCTACGTATTTAGACATTTTCAGTTCTTTGGTTATAGTTCAGAAAAAATAAAACCACAAAAATCAACCCTTCCTCCTCTTTCCTATTTGTGAACCATCTTTCTGGATTTATTATTTTTGCACTGTGTTCTTGGAGGCTGCAGTGAAGGTTTCCCGAGCATTTCAATTGCAGATGTGGGCATTAGTATGCTCACAGTAAAACCGAGCCCAGGGATATCCAACCTTAATCTCTGTCGATCTCCTGGAGCAGCCTATTCTCACTTTATTTTTGCAGTGCTCCCTCTCTTAATGCCTCTTCCTTGCCTGCAGCCACTTCATTAGAAAGCCTGCAGAGTGGAAGAGGTGGATGTGTTTAATGTTGATGGGAATCAAAACCAAAGGAAAGACACTGTTTGTTTGGCCACCTGCTCTTGTGTGAAGATGTTGTACCCCAGCTGAGCAAGGCGGACAAGGCATGGGGTGTTAGGTGTATGAAGTTGGTTTGTGCTGTGCAGGGCATATCGTTGCTTTCAAATTGATAGGGAGCGACTTAGTGCATTGCCTTTCTGCCTAGACTAAATCCTAGATTCTCATAGCTAAGCAGGCTGTATGAACAAAATGCCCCCCTCCATCAAGGTCAGGAATTATATACTGTTTTAACCATAGTGTTCTATAATAACGACTACAGTTTTCTACTTGGTGTTTTAAAGATTTGAAATCCATGCATGCTAGCATATCTGCATGAGAGATTGTCCTGACTTAGAGCCAATTTTTGGCAGAGACAATAGAACAGACTCACAAACAGGTGGTTCTCATCACTGGGTGCATAATGCTGTGTGTATGCATGTTAGCCCTTGCCTAGCGCCCTGATGCTGTAGAGAAGGCAATTTTCCCTGGACATAGATTGGGATGTATTTGCTGGAGAGGGTAACTAAGCACTTTCTTCACTGAGGCTTCCACTTGGTACCTGTATAAATACTTCTAGGCAAGCAGGTAAACCAACAGCATATAATCTGTCACTGCTAAGGACAGCATTGCTGTTCTGTGTACATAGGAAAGGGAAATACGTTTAGAGTGAACGTGGATGTTCTGTTCTTCATTCATGTTTGTCTAAATTCTAATCTCTTTCAGTGTGCCATAAATCCAAAATAATTAACCGAAGTCAGTGCGGTTCCTGGGGATTTGTGCTACTGTAAATGAGAACAGAATGGTAAATTTTTTTCTCCCTCTCTCTCCTAATAGTGAGAAGAAAAGCTAGATTGTCAGCCTGACTATACTTCTTTGCTTTTCTTTGCTGACACTGTCATAAAATGGACATCATTTAAACATTCTTTATTTTTTATATTTGGAATATAACAGAAGGAGAGCCTTGATGGCTTTTTATTTTACAGAAATATAAACATTAAAGTAATTTTTCTTTTACACGTGTTAGGAAGCATAATTTACTTGAAAGGACCCTATTATATACTCAGTCCTGTATTTGTTTATCTAATTGAATAGAAGAGCATTTACTGCAGTTTCAAAGTTAAGCCAATAAACATTTGTCTTTGTATTGCAGCAGCGATGTTTGACAACTGGGTTGGGCAACACCCATTTTAACTTGAGTTTATTTTATAGTATTGACGAAGCTAAACTCCCAAGTCCATTTTCACTCCCTTACTTTTGCGCTGTTGCCATAAGTTGGGTATTCGGCAAAAGATGCTGAAAGCCTTTCATACAAGTTGCCTGTGTTACTTACGTTATCCTTGTTCCCATCACCATTAGGTCGTCTGACAACTCTACATTTTGTTTCACATATCCCTGGATACCCTTGTTGTGTGCAACAAGACATGGAGATACGAGCAGCGGGATTTTAAATGGATCTACATTTATAATTCCAGTTAAAATCGAGAGGAAAGGAGTGGAAAACAAACAGAACCTTTTTCTCTTCTGTGCCATGCTCACACCAAAACAACTGTCCATCAGCTCTACTTCCTTCAAGTCCAGGAACACCGTGGTTATGGGAGTGCTTAAAAAGCCTGCAATTTTACTGTCAGAGGATGCCGTTGACATTCCTAGACATGAAAATACTTAAGATTGCTGTATGCTGTTTTTTGGTTTGTTTTTTTTTCACTCTATAAATGTCATTCTGAACTGTGCTGCCTGTATCAAATAGCTCCTGGAACATCCCTCCTAATCAGTTCCTTTTGGGAGCAGGATCGTCGGGCTCGTTCTGAAGCCGTGCCAGTGCCGGCAGTGCTTGGGGACTACAGATGAGATCTTTGTTACAGAAGCATGAGATCAATTCACCATTCCGGGCCATGTAGTAAATGCATTCCTGACTGAACGTTACATCGTTTTTATTTTCCTGGGACAGCATTGCACTGTGTCTCCTCTCTGAAAGAGCTATGTTCATTAGATACAGGAAGTCCTGCTAATCATCCATAACATTACATTAACAGCTGCTGGTGCGTCTTTGAATGCCCAGTGATGAGGGGAGAGTTTGCAAGAGATTTGGCGCTTCTTTGCTGTGATTGTTTTCTTCAGCATGCTTTGGAATCCGAAGTTCTGTAAAAAAAAAAGGCAGTTAATCCTTAGGGTTGTGAGGAAAACTTTTAAAACATGCACCAGATGGAAATCAATGCAGTAGTGTCTTGCAAGCAGACAGATAGGCTGAGAAGAAATCTGAAGTCTGATATTATTTGGATTGAAGGAAAAAGAGCTGCAAAGCAGTCATGCAGCTTAGATATCATCGATACAGAATATGCAAGTCTGCAGTGAGCTCTGTCTCATTTCACATCGTTGACAGCTTTGTTTTTGTCAGTGACTCAAGATAAACCCGATTTTCTCTCCTGTTGATTTGTGCTCCCTTTCTTTTGTATAGACAACTTCCTTTGGCACATGATAGCTGACTCAGGAACAGAGCTGACCGGAAAAAAAAGATTTCCAGTCTATAGACAATAAATTTATACTTCTGCCCTTGTTTTATGCACATTTTTTTACAAAAAGAAAAAAAAAAGAGAGAGCAAAGAACATGATTAATGAATGGCGAGATGTTTGATTTGAACTGTTTTGACATGTCTGAAACCCTTATGTTGGAGTGGATAAGCCTGGTGCCTGCTTTATGTGTAGTGAAGTCTTCAGGAGTCTGTCCTGGGTGCCAGTGGTTACTCCTCAGCCCCAGCTTGGGATCTCTGACACTTCTCTGTAGATGAGATATAGCAGGATTTCTGCACATAATTCTCCAGAACAATCCATTGTTCGTGTCACCAGGAGTCCTGCTTGTCCAGCTCCAGTCCAGTTTATGGGACAAACTTTCTGCTGACAGTGTTGCTGCTTTTGGTAGAGGAAATATTAATCCAACATCCTCCTGGTCATAGCAAAATAAATGGTAAAATAAATCCCAAGGTGGTTTACAGTGTTTAGGAGGAAAAATACATAGTAAATCACATCTTGTGCTCTTGAATCCAAATGATTCCCCAATGTCAGCAATGAACAGGGGATGTGATTTCAGGGAGCTGGATATTCCATGTGCCACAGAGGCGACGTGGGCCAAAAGCACATGAAAGCACATTCATTCCTGGTCCTTCCAACACAGAAAAATGCCCATAACCATAACAACCTGCTAAGGAGTGAGAGCTCTGCCAAATGGATAGCACAGAGCTGATAGCAGCTGCTGGCTAAAACAGGTAGGCAGCTGGTATCCATGGATGCCATGGAGGGGAACTGCCCTAAGAGATGGCAAAGGTAAAACGGTAATAATCAAAGAAATGCCCATCTGATGAGTGTAGATATTTGCATGCAGCACCTTCCAGCACACCTAGGTAGGTGCCTCACAGCTCTAGGTTGTTGATACTCTGCAAGACCATACATGGTACCATTTGCTTTAATAGTAGCAATTAGTGGGCCAGTACAATAAACAGTGATTTTATGAAAATGAGGACTGATCCATTCACAGATGGATCCGAGACAAAGATTGAATGCCATGCTTGTCATCAGTCAATGCACTCCTCAAGGTGTTCAGTGTCCAGTGTATGTTTTGCCAGATATTGTTATGAGATCCTTACAACAAACCATTTATTTTTGCACTTTAGCTGCATTGCACAGGTAGCCTGGGCTGTCAGTAATACCTGCTGTATGTTCTAGTGCAGGCAGGCAGAAGAGCAGGTCCCAGAATGTGCTCACAAAAAATCATTTTGTCCCTCATTTTTGCTTGATTCACCCTTGCAGGGAGATGCCATATGGCATTGCAATAGGCAGAGTTAGCAGTAGGAAGCTACAGAAAGGCAGCTTTAAAAGAGAAATTCATTCACCATTGGAGTACAACTTCCAAGGTAAACCGTCTCATGGTGGCTGATAGTTAACTTGCTATTTTTTGGAAGTTCATAGACAAGTTGATAGATTCTACCAAGTCTCAGCTGTGATACAAGGCAAGTGGGGGTTTATCTGGGGAGAAGTGCATGGCAGAAAACACATTGGTTCCAGTCCTCCACTATCTCCTGTCTCCTCTTCCCTGGTGTCCCTCCTGTGTTCCCAGCAGGGAGTCTCAGGAAGACAAACTTCAGGCACCTTTTGTACCTGCAGCTCGGTGACAACAGGGCTGCTCCCTTGGTATTCGAGGTGATGTAGGGGAAAGAGGACTTAGGTTTCATGTTTCTGCCTCTTCACCCTTCCTTTTACCCTCACCTCCCTTGATTTTGGGAGTTCCGTGCTGCTGCGAGACAAGGATGGGAGATCTGGCTTTGAAGAAGATGAATCCTAGAACAGAACAGGAGCCTTCAGGCTGTTCTTTCTGCCTGGTCACAGGGAATACAGTCAGTCTCTGCTGTCACCAGATGCTACATCCAGACAGGACAAGATGTTTGAAGCCCTTGAGTGTTGTTAGTGTCTCCTGTCAGCCAACAGCACAAAAAATGTAGCACTCGAGCTCCAAGTCCTGAAAATTGGCCTTGATTTAATGAGATTTCACAATAAATAAGCATTTCAGTTTCCCTGCACTATGAGTCTTTAAGGATTTTGAGCTTTTCTGTGCAAACTTGGAGGCTTGAAATGAATTATTAAGGTGAAAGATAAGTCTTTCTTATGATTATGATTTCTTGTCTTTGTATACTTAGGCACCCATTCCTGTAGGATAAAGAAACATATCAGAAGACTTGTTTTGATATCCTTGAATCTGGAAACAGCTGTTTTTTTTAAAGCTGGATGCTGTCGTACCAGAGAATGGGACTGCTGTGAATCCTGGGTTTAGCTGCAGAAGTAATTTTAGCAGGCGCCCACATGTGTTTAATAAAGCCAGATTTCCACCTTTCCAACTGCAGATTTAGTCACAGCAGCGTATTTTGTAGTTCCCACTCAAGCTGAGCTTTATGTGATAGTAATGGCAATGTTACTGAAGCAGGAAGAGTCGAATCAAACACCATTGCAATCAATCTCACAGTTGCCAGCTAGCAAACTGAGCAGGAGAGTGTTAAATCTCCTCCAGCAATGCTGTATGGGAGACCTCCAATCATCTTTACCAAGTAAAGTGGATCCTCCAAATTAGGTCATCTGTTTGCTTCATTCTGAAAGATTTTTATTAAAATGAAAAAATGTTTTCTGTTTCTTGTCCCAGAGAGAAAACAAACATTGGCATCTAGAGTGGTGGAAGACAAACACTTGGTGCTGGGCAACTTGATTAAAGTGTATTCCTTGTAATGAGCGGTGCCTCCCTTATCCTGCCATTGTGTTCAGACAAGGAAAAAAAAAAGGAGGGCCTGCCCTTTCCCATTGTATAGTCACATTTTCCAAGTGCAGTAAAAATGGGTTTTATAAAAAGCCCTAAAAAATAAAAAAAAAAAAAAAAGAAAAAAACGAACTCTGTCTTTTAGTAAACCACTGAAGCAACTCTTCAACGAAAACAATCTTGTGCACCTTGTATATAGGAGAACTCCTGAAGTTAGTGCTCTGTCTAACCTACCAGAGAAGGAAGATAATACTGATAAAAAAAGGTTTGGGATAAGTGTTGTCTGAGCCTTCCTTAAAGGCTTGCTACTAGAATCAAAGCTGAATTTTATTTGGGGAAGGTAATAAAGGAAAAAGTGATTTGCAGCAGAAGACTGTGTTTGTACTGTTATATTTTAATCACTGCTATCACCAATACCAACATCTACATTTATCTACCCATGTACATTAACCAGCAGTCTACTAATATATTAACAGACATTATTAGCTGTAATAGCCCAGTTCAGTCAGATTTAATGGGAGAATCACAAAGTCTCTGCATCATGTTTGCCATTACCCAGAGAGAGTTGCTTGTGGGCATTCACCTGCGTGCAAACTGGGCAGGAAAAATTAAAACTGTGCATCATATGCTTGCATTCTGGAAACAGTAAAAAGAAGCTGTATTAAGTAGACAGACACAGATATCTTCAGGAAAAAAAAAACTACAAAGAAAACCTGAGTCTTAGGCTAAGCCATGTCCTCAACTCTGTTTTGTGGCACTTCTATTTGTTTTAAAGACTCAGCATGGATTTTCCTTGGTGTCTTTATGTGCTGAGTATTGCTGTATTGGTTCCACCACCACCAGACTCAGTAAACAAGGATGTGCCCAGGGAAAAACAGACATGGTTAAAAAGATCTGTGTTGCCAGCTAAAATCTGGTTAGGTTAGTGTGGGCTTCTAGCAGCCAAAATAAAACAGTTGTGCAGGGCCAAGAATTTCAAGATAGAGAGGGCTGGAGGAATTCTAAATATGCTACAGAAGTGGAAGCAACAGGACTTGGCAAAATCCTTGGCTGAGATAGAGAAACAACGTGTCTTGCTAGCCAAACAACAGGGTGGTGTTGAAAGAGAGAGTGCGATGGCAAAACCCTTGGGCAGAGAGAGGATATCCAGGAAGGAATGTTTGAGATTTGGGCCTGGATGGAGATTAAAAGCTGGCTCTAATGAAATACCCATTTGCTCAGATATTTGGTTCACTGTAAATATAAATTCTTGATCTAAAATTCATCTTTAGCATGATCAAGGGATCTGAACTGACCAAGTAATTCTGAGATCCAACAAAAACGCAGCACTCTTGAATTATAAAAAGACAAATCTATATACCTCCATGCTTACAAATGTGTGTTAAATGGAGATGCTTTTGACATAGTCTAAATAATAGAGACAAATATTTCGTACTAGTATAGTATTTTACAATTACAGTGAAGAATTTAATTTCCTTGTGCTTCGGTTCTGTATTAACACATTTGTTTTTAGATTTTTTCTTTTCTTCCCTGTTTTAGGGATAATTACATTCCCCTTAGCTGCTTCAATAATAGAAAGAAATTTATCTGTGGAACCTGCAGCAGAGAAGCTTAACACATAAATGCTTATGCCTAATTGGCAAGAGAATTAGCAAAGTGATGCAGATATTTTTATAGTCCCCAACTACACACTAATGTGTATTGATTGAGAGGGAAGCAGTGCACGTCCCAATTTTTCAGCACAAAAGAAATATGCAGTCAGCCAACATGGCATTTTTGCTGTCTGTTTTTCTTTGTTTTTAGCACCAAGTCCAATATAAAAGGCAGGTACTTTCAGTTAATTAAAATCACACATTTTATCCAGGAACACATCAATAGATAGGCATGTAAAAGGTAGAGATTCTATCTCACTCAAAGAGAACATGGGTTTGGTTCACTCTTACTCTTTGAATTTGTGTTTGTGGCTTATTACCGTTGTAATCAACAAAATATAAATCTCATTCTAGGCGCTTGCTTGTACCTGACGGCTCTGAGGGAGCATTTTTACAGCAGGACCCCCTCCATCCAGACCCCTGGGCTGCTCAGAGTCTTTTTGTCTTCTGGTGTTGGAGTTATCAGAGCTCACAGATTTAGCACTGGGGTAAATCAGCAAAAACTAGCCCCATGTTGCTCTGCTGATGTCTGGCACCCAGGGCCTGGGCTGCAGTAGGAGAAGAGATGCACGTGCCCCGCAGGGCCTGGAGCCCGACGAAGGGCGGAGACACAGCTCGTGCCAAAATATGCAAAGAATTGAAATGAAGATTCTCCTAACCCTATACAACAGGCATTTTTAAAAAATGCCTAGATCTCTCATCAAAGTAAAATGTAATTAGGGGTATTATTGCATGCCTTCTTAATTGGAATGGCTTGTGACAGAGAAGTATTTGGGAGGAAAGCAAAGTGCAAGCATTGTGTGTGCTCGGCTCTGTTGGAAATGCTGCCTGGTAAATCCGTGTCCACGCAGAGCAGCTGAATGGTGAGGGTCAGTGGGACTGCCCAGGTGCCCAAAGTGATTCATGTGCAGAAAGATTCATGTGCAGGGCTTATGCTGTAATCACAGTAAGACGCTGTTAAGATTCCTCTGGACTAAACGAGAGTATGTCACTTCCCTGTGAACAGTAGGAAGAACGTTAATAAGCCATGTATAACTGTAAGTGACACCTTTTCTCCAGAGGTATAAAGGAGTGATCGTGTTTTTTGAAGTTATTGTCCCAAACACAAAGTCGATGATGTCACCAAAAGAACGAGCAAGTCTGCAGCCAGTTTGGAAAACTTTATTCCCATGATACCCAGCCTTGAGAGTAAGACACTAGCAAGTGGATGGGAGGAATTCCCATAAACAGGGCAGTGGAGAGAGACTGTAGACAGGATTTAGGCACAGTCAGGGAGAGAATGACACCAGGGGGATAAAAGATTCCTACATTCTTCTGCTGCGATGGCTCTGCACTGCCATGGCCAGAGGAATAATATCCCAGTGGACTGCTCACCCAGACAGTCTGGCCACAGGCCAGGTATTAATTTCTCTGGGTTCCTGTGCGGGAGCAGGGACAGTGAAGAAAAGTGTTAGAAATTAAAATAAGATGAAGACGTTAATGTTGTCCACTGCAGGGTTTCTTCTTAGGCAGCATGCTGCTTGCACAGCCCCAGAGTAAATGTAGAAACAAGTTTGTTATGTTTCATCTGTACTACTACTGATTTTCATATGATTAATAAAATATTCTTTTTTTTTTCCTTTAATACGTATTCTGTAATACACAGGGGAGTGCAACTGGAAAGATTCATTTAAATACCATTCATTGAAAAGAGCTGTTGCCTGACATTCAATAGTTAAATTATGAAGTATCGGACGCTGGAGTAATAAAAACCTACTTGCTTTGATCTTGTAGTTAAAAAATGATTAAAGTATAGAATTGCATGTGCTGACATTAGACCTCCACCCACAGAGAGATTTAAAGCTGTCGGGGGAAAAAGGAAATTTGAAAGACAGCTTAAATATAATAATTCAGAAATTGAGCTGCTTTGTTATTTCAAATATGGCCGGAGTAAAAGGGATATTTCATACTCTATTTGTTACACTAGATCCAAGAACCTTATCCCGGGACATTTCCTCTTGCGTGCAACCAAAAAGCTGAAAATTGCTAAGAAGAGGTAGCACAGGAGAGATCTGTGTTTCCATATTGTCTATTGAACTCAGTGCATTTACAGCCTTGAGGATTCCCTCTTCCCCTCCTGCTACCTCCACGCTGAGCAAGGTGACTCCCGAGTGCTGCAAATAGAAAAGGCTGTAGAATTCAGTAATAGAGTTTGCAGGGATGAAAAGCTTTCTTCTTTTAATTTTATGCATATTGTCATCTCCCAGGCACATGAAATTACCTTGTGGAATTGCAATTATGAACTTATTACTGCTTTATCTAATTGTTAAAGAATACAGAGACTTGTTGAGTTGGGTTTCTGGCCCCTGACATGTAAATTGCTCCAGCGAAGGCACACCCTTACACCCACACACAATCCTGATTTAAGTCAGTAGGAAGCCTCTGGTTTTGCATAAGCATTTTGTAGCCGGTATAGAGACTTAAAAAAATGTATTGGCTGATGCTTGCATGATTACATCTGCCCAGCCAGGCTTCTTAATTCTCTTGTAGTGACGGCTTTGCTAATGCAAAGTCAATATTTGATCTTGCAGTGGCCTTGATTGTATAGATAATTTTGATTCTCTGGCCAATTACAGACCCTTAGCATTTTGTCAAACATTCTTCAGTAAGAGGACTTCTATGATAAAAAACCACGGTAGAATTCATTACAAATGACCCTGGAGATCAGACAGAACATTAGATCAGTGAATTGGGTTTCACTAGTGCTGCTTCATTACTATCAACGTTATGATCCTGGTCAGAAATTGCAGTTTGACTGATGTTAATGCTGCAGTTCTCTGAGAATAAAGACCCAGAAAACACACCGGTGTCATCTCTGGGACATGAGATATACTGGGACAAGGAGATTCCAAGACATCTTTCGGGAGTCAGCTTAATTTACACAGGGTTTAGCATTTTAGCATTTGAATTGCCTCTCATGTTGGCCGTGCCCTGCTCTTCTTCCACAGTATTCTTTACCAGATGTTCATTGCTGAAAACATGTTGTTTTTAAGGATCAGTAAGATTCTTGAAACTCACTGTTTCAATGTGCATTGCCCTTCTCGATATCAAAGTTTAAACACAGTGTCGCCTGCTGGAGTGGACAAGAAGCTCATTTTGTCCTTCCAACCAGCAAGGATCCACTTGCCATTTGAAGAGGTCCCAAACTGCTGCAGGACAAACTCCTGAGGCACCAGAGTAGTCTTTTGGGAAAGCTATGCTCATCATGCCCATGTGGACAAGGGAACCTTCCAACCATAGAGAGTTTCTCCCATGTTCTTTGCAGGAAGGAGAATTCCTTTCCTGATCATCTGCAAAGCACTCTGAGATCCCCAGGGAGAGACAAATTCAGAAGACAAAAATAGTGTTAAGCTCTCAGATTCTTCTGTCTGAAGGTTTGTTTCCTGGATAATTTTGAATTTTCTTTCTTCCATGGGATGGAAGGCGGTCCCAGAGACAGCAACCTGGCTTGATGAGGCAGAGTTGGCCTCTTGGAAGTGCAGGTGTGTTCTCCAGCATCTCAGTCCCTTGGGGGCATTGAGGAACTGGTTTAGGATCTCGCTTATCCTTAAGTCATTCTTAATAACAACTGGAACTAGAAGTGTAAAAGCATGAGGTAAATAGGGGATGTAGTAGTGGTGCATAGCACATGGATTAGGTATAAATGGGGAAAAAAGTGACAGTTCCACAGAAAAGAGTAGCAAAGGAGATCTCTGTGTTTGGCCAGCTTCATCGGCACTGACTCTGGCTCTAAGGGTACGTCCACAGGGAAATGAGCACTCTCAGG